ACGCATACAGAGTACACGACTTCCGAGGCATCGCCATGTACAGCATACGCGCGCTCCGGGATGGCGCCTGCGTATACGCGCATACGCATCTGCCGAAACCAGGCCATGTTACAGCTGGACCTGGCAGTCCGTTACAACCACCAAGGCACACACTCACGCACTTGTAATCACATCACACGTGCTACTGTAACACATAAAAGAAAACATTAAAAATACTCAGTCGGAACTTGATTTCAAGAAATGCAGCACTACTCTTGGTACACCATTCGCCTTTCTAGGGCACCAAATACTGAGCTGCGGCTACACGACAACCTCTGGTATGGTCCGATCCTCATGTAAACTTAAATACTCTCTTCAATGTCAGAACTAATTGGCTCTACTTCACTTTCATCAGTTATACTTCGGTTTTCCGGCATTTTTCGCAACCAATTAAAAATGTAAACACTCATTCTTACAAAATAGTTTCTGAGCCAATGTTTAGGATAAATTTACTTTCCTTATGTATCTAATGGTGATCAGTAGCAGCGACAAATAATAAGTCCGCGGCGTCATAAGCCGACAGCATACTCAAAAGCGAGCGCTACAGCTCTACGCCTTCCACTAAACCATTGCAAGTCTGTCGACTACGTAATGCTCGGAGTAAACTGTAACACTTATCATCACATTAGATCACAAAAATACTACTTAGTGTTTTTAAGTCATAGCACGTTAAAGTAATCATGTTCTTTTTTTCGGTACATCGTTTAAACATTTTGAACTTTAAAACTAGGCCATGTAAATCACACCTCGTGTATCAAATTATAACATTACTTGAGCAAGTTAAACTTCCACTGAATGCAAACTATAACTCATTCAGAATATCTCCAACATTTCATTCATTTGTTAACATATTTAGGTACGTCAGAAATAATGAAAATACTTGAGGGTACTTTTAATCGAACAAAAGGATTTATCTTTTGCCTTAAATAATTTCACTTTATCTTTTCTCTACACTTTAATGATACGACAATATCGTAAGTAGGACAGCAAATTTTATTACGGTATTTAACATAAAAAGAGATCCATCAATGCGAAATGCATTATAGCCTTTACAAATGTAATAATTCTCATACTATTCAAAGATTGTATGTGGGCAAAAATGGGCTTTATCCCACTTCTGATGTAGAAAGGGTAATTGAGTATAGTACAGAGACTAATTTTGTAGTTAGAAATAATAATTAATTCGTGTAAACGATACTTCGTGTAGACGTGCAGGTGCCGTCATATATATACAGGGTGTTTTTGGAACGCTCCCGAAAACTAAGACAGGCGACAACACTAAGTATACCTTTGATCATGGGTCACAAATAAATTCGATCCTGATGAAAAAAAAATCATCTTTTTACAAGGTTTTATTAGCTTTATTCACGCGCCATCATGTTAGTACAGCTAAATGAAACGATAATTTCATAAAAAATATCATGAAAATACTGAAACATAAAACCAGCAGTGGAATGACTGAATTGATATCACCTGACCTGAGCTAGATAAAGGTCAATGTACGCGCGAACACAAATTCGCGCGGCCCGCAACTAGCGGGCCTTCCAACAATACCTAATAATTTACAACACGTGTCTAAATACCTAACTTATCTACTTAACCTACTATTTTGCCACTGGGCTTATCTCCACGTAGCCACTTTAATCCGAATTTACAGGTTAAATAACCCAAATAACTGGTTCGATTCCCCGCTAATGAAGAAATACTTAAATGAAATGTAACCAAGGTTGGAGTCATGCGTTTTTATTCATCGTGTAGGTATGTTTATTATTCTCGTGTATTCAGTTATGTACCTATTCAGATTAGTCTAGTACTAAGTTATTTAAAAAAAAAATAGTTATGAAACAGCTTACTGCTCTAAATCCTCCGTGGTCTTATGAGATGCGGCTCAAATTGTGCTCCATTCATTTCAAGGCAGACTTGGGTGCAGGCGGGGCATCATCGTGTGGTCTTCGACACAGTCCGTACGTAGTTTCTCGAAAGCATCCACGATCCTTTGGCGCATTTCTTCAGCACTATCACATTCACGATTAAAAACCCTTTCTTTCACATACCCCACAAAAAGAAGTCTAACGGAGTCAGATCTGGTGAGCGAGGTGGGCAAGCGTGTGGTCCTAGTCTGCCGATCCAGCGATCATCAAATAGCTCATTGAGGCGCTCACGGACGAACCTCACGAAATGTGGAGGGGCACCATCATGTTGGAACTATGTGCGGCGATATTCAGCCAACGATAGGTCGTTTAAAATGTCAACCAACTGTTCATTTATAAAGTTTAGGTATCGCTGTCCGTTCAGTCGCTCTGGCAGAAACACTGGTCCCAGTATGCGATCCTTAAATAAACCTGTCCATACGTTAACCGACCATCGGGTTTGGTGCCCGGTTTGTCGAACAGCGTGCGGGTTAACCTCTGAATACACGTGTGTATTTCTTCGGTTCCACAGGCCGTTTCTGGTAAATGTCGACTCATCCGTCCAGATAATGTGCTCAATGGAACCAGGCACACGTTGTTGCTGATATAATAACCAACGGCAGTATAATAACCACTATAAACGTACGCGTTAGGCATTATTAAAACAAAAAAGAATCCAAAAACGTAACAAAAACTTTAATATCAACACGTAATCACAAGTAAATTTATTAAACAAAACGATTGAACTGTCTCTCGCGCACGCGTGTACAAAATCAACACGAAACTGTCTCAAAAACTAAAACCAACGAACCCCGTCAAGGCTGAAAATTACTGCGTCACAAGCGTGAGGCGACAGGGTTAGGCATTCTGCCGTCATAATAAAAAAGGAAGTAACTAACAAAAACTTAAAATGGAAATAAAAAATAAATTGATGAATTTTTCTTTCAGACCCCGTGTCTAAAGTATATTAAAAGGTATCTATATTGAAATATATACGTAGAGACATGAAGATTTTAAGGACGAACTTATTTTTTTTTTAAATTTGTTTATTTATTTAAATAAAACGAATTTTCCTTTTCATCTTAGCTTAAAAAATACACCTGGCAACACAAGAACATCGAAGGAAAGACGCATATAACTATTTGCGTCTTTCCAACCTAATAAATAAAAAAAAAAACTGCCATTCATTTAACAATTTTACATATTTTGGAAAGGTCATTTGAAGTTGAAAGGACGCTAATAGTAATTTACTACTTTTTTTTTTAATAAATATTAGAAAAGCATTAGTAGTGAGACACAAAAAATAATAATTTTAAAAAGTAATGATTTTAAAGGGGATATCATACAAGACTTACTATGATAATAATTAAAAATTAAAAATTTTGTACAACCGACTTTAATATAAATAATTACGGATAACTCAAAAACTATTGGTCTGACCTCGATCAAATTTATATGGGACCACATGTGAAACACCAGCTCTTAACAATAAGATATAAGCTCTTAATAATAAGATATAGAATAATAAGACAAGACCAAGAATAATTGAAATTTAAGTAATCGATGCAAATATTGTTAAAGATGACGTAGCAACTGGTTAAATAAGTCTTTTCTTTTATGTTGAATTTGTATAAGTCTTTTCTACTAAAAAAAGTCATCTGTGATCAACAGTTACGTCTAAAATTCTTACGATAATTTCTAAAATATTGATATTTGTGAATATTAAAAAAATTTAGTAGATGCGCCTTCTTATCATGAATCGAATGGTATATTTAACTCATTTATTCATAAATTGTTAGATGCGCCCTTTTTTCTGACGACCGCGTGTTTCGTACCGAGCTAGATACAGGTCGATAGCGGAGGGGGTGTGGGTACAATCGCGTTCTAAAGTACTACATGGTATTGAGCTATTGTTTTATAATATTATAGTAATTAATTGTTTTAATGTAGAATCATAATAGGTGTTTTACTAGCTACTTAGAACTTTGGAAGAGGTGGGAATTAAAAATGGATAATGTTTACATGAGCATTATTTGTTATTTCTATCGTAAAATATAAAGTAGTTTGTAACAAGAAAATTTTAGCTAAGGGTAACACGCCGTCCATTATGACGTCTTGGGTCACATGGAAGCCAGATGTTAATGGTGTGTTGGTGTTACTGGATGCTACTTGATCATCACTTTCATCTTCGCTTGAGCTTCCGTCATCAGGTCGATCACATGGTAATTTTTTCGGTATTCTTCCTCCACACTTTTAACTTTACTGCACAATTTTCCCCATTCACCTTCTCCTATCATATTTACCTTTTCGATCACTAGTTTAGTCATAAAACAATAGATATAAATAATTTTTCTTTCCTTCCTTTTTAAAACATCGTCGCGAGTCGCAAAGTAAGCTGTGTATGCGACTGTATTTTTGGAGCGAACAAAGCGCGGGAACCAATAGCATGCAGGCACACTAATACTGGCGGATTGTTCTCCCCCGTCACGCGCCTTTCGTACCAATATGTGATAAATCGCTCAGTGCCCAAGTTCAAGGCCAGCGTTTGTTTTTCACCGTTCGCGCGTACATTAACCTCCATTAGTCAGGTGATATCAATTCAGTTTCCACTGCTGGTTTTATGTTTCAGTATTTTCATGATATTTTTTATGAAATTATCGTTTCATTTAGCTGTACTAACATGATGGCGCGTGAGTAAAGCTAATAAAACGTTGTTAAAAGATGATTTTTTTTTCATCAGGATCGACTTTATTTGTAACCCATGATCAAAGGTATACTTGGTGCTGTCGCCTGTCTTAGTTTTCGGGAGCGTTCCAAAAATACCCTGTGTATATATATACGATTTTTTTTGCGAAACAACTATATTTCAACAAAGACTTACTATAGCGTGAGGCTTTAAATAAGGCCTGAAAGCAGCAAATATTCCATTAAAATAAAATTTGGATCACAACGTACACACAAAATACTATTTTTGTTATAAAAAAGTTAACAAATCTACTACAAGTTAAATTGAATTCACACTTTAATATTTTAACTTAAAATTAAACTTACCTTGCAGCTTCGTACTGGCGTATAGTAAGAAGAGTGTCCTCGATGGTCTTGTTTGTGAGCGTGTTTAGTGAGTTGTTGAAGAAATGCAACGCTGCAAGCAAAATATCTCCGTTGCGTGTCAAGGAGCGCTGCGTGTCCGCGTTGTATAAGAACCTGACAATTGTAATGTTAAAAATTATAAGAGTTGCAACCTTACAGTGAGTTATCTATACATATACAACGTTATTTTGCAATAACTGGCCAAATTTGCAGGGAAGGTTCAAAATAAGTAATATAGGCAAACGGTGAAAAAATTAATTAAAAAAAAATCTCAAACATTCTGTCCTTATTATCTTTTAAATTCATTCAATTTGGGATAATTTCAAATAAAAATAGAAGCCTTATTGACTCGTATTTTCAAAAACTGCAATAACAGTCTATCATTATTTATATATTTGAACTTATGTTTAACATTTGACTTCTTTTTTTATAGAATAAGGGTGACAAACGAGCACACAGTCCACCTGATGGTAATTGGTTGCTGTGGCCCATAGACATCTACATCTATCTTCGTTTGCGAATTAAAATGCAGATGCGTTGTCAGCCGTGAGGACTAAGATAGAATGCCTCTTTTCCAATAAAAAAGGGTCTCCGGTTCTCTACACTCACCATACGAAACACAGCAGCACTAATCTGATATTTTACGCTGGTATTCTGTGAGAGCGTGGCCCTTCCCCGGTTCCATTCACCCATTCGTGCTACAACTATACTATTAATATAGCTGCAGCATGGCTCTACCACGTACAAAATTACTACTGGCTACTCTGAAAAATAACCCTACAAACAAAATTGAAGGGTCTGTCCGTAATATCGAAATAGCTACCTTATATTGATCTATTAATCTATTTGCATGCCATTGTAACATGAATAACTTTTTTCTGTCTGACTATTCAGGCTAATCTTCGGAAAGGCTAAACCAGTTGTAATGCAACTTCACTAACAGATAGAGAGGAATGCCACGAATGACCTAGGTTATATTTTATCCGAAATACTTGGAGATTTCTGAGAAATCGAAACATTTATAAAATAAATGGTCTTTTATGATTAAATCTCAAAAATGCCACATTAATAGTTCCTACGAGGGCGACACTGAAAGTTTTTAAAACTGGCCACTTGTAAACGATATAATAAAAAAATAAGTTCAAATTTTGAAAATGGAACTCTTAGATAATATTATTATGTATGTATTTTATTAATTTATCATTTGTTTACGATTTGGCGGCAAATTGAAAATTGTCTGTGTCACGTCAGTATGAATTTAACGCCAGAAAATTTTCGTACAATGATTTTTTATGACTTTCGATGTCAACAAGAAAGTTATGATAGACTTCGATTGGCCTTTCACGATGAAGCCCCATATCGTGCCACTGTTTACAACTGGTTTAATGAGTTTAAACGTGGTCGCACTAATCTCACCGATGATCTGCGTGAGGGACTGCCTTCTACGGCGACGACTGAAGATAACATCAGTGTTGTGCGGCGTATGATAGACTGACAAAAGAGTGACTTATCAGCAGATTCGGACAAGCTTAGGCATCGGAATGAGTCAAGTGCACAAAATCCTTCATGAACATTTAGCGGTCAGGAAGCTTTGTGCCCGGTGGATACCTCAAATTTGACAGAGGCCCAAAAATTCCGTCTTGTTGATTGGTGTCGTGGAATGGTTCAAAGATTTAACGGAGGTGACTCAAATGCTGTGTTCAACATATTTACGGGTGACGAAAGCTAGATTTTTGTTATGATCCTAAAACTAAGAGACAGTCTGCTGCCTGCGTATTTCCTTCCGAGGAGTTGCCAACTAAAGTGAAGAGAGGTCGAAGCGTAGGAAAAAGATGGTGGCCTCGTTCTTTGGAAGGACAGGTCATTACGCAACCATTGTTTTAGAGGATCGAAAAACAGTTACTGCAGAGTGGTACACTAACAATTGTTTGCCACTTGTCTTAGAAAAAGTTCGGGAGAAACGACCTCGCAGTAGGATCCTCCTTCACCAAGGCAACGCCTCTGCGCACACCGCCAAGCAAACAATCGACTACTTGGCGACGTCATACATGGAATTACTGGGTCACCCGCTCTATAGCCCTGACCTTGCGATTTTTATTTATTTATTTATTTCCGAAAACAAAAGAAAAACAAAACGAAAACGTTTTATGGACGCCGAGGAAGCAGTGGCTGCGTTTCAAAATGCCGTCCAAGAGGGGGTCTCTTAAGAACGAGTGGGCAAAGTGCTTTTCTCAGTGGTTCCATCGGATGCAGCGATGTGTTGCTGTAAATGGACACTATTTTGAAAAGATATAATAAAGGTAATAACTTGCTAGTTTGTTCAGTTTTTGATTTTCTAAGAACTTTCAGTGTCACCCTCGTACGCAGACAAAGCCACGACGGGTCTCTAGTGTAAAATATAACGTAGCTAACGAATGTTTCCAATTTTGCTGATATTTTATTGATAACGACACATCTCGTCACATATAGCTCAAAATTTGAAAAAAAAAAAAAACTAAGTGTGTTCTATACACAATTAAATTACAGAATTAAAGGTCCAAGTGCAGAATGTGAAATTATTTAATTATCTTTAGTTCTTTAAATTTGGCTTTTACTTTTATTTAAAGTGAACTTTTTATCCTTTTGAGCGCACTAAGGAATATAAACAACCTCAATGTTGTTTAGAAATAGTTACATAAAAGAAAATTATCTCATGTTTTGCCACTTTCGCCTGCTTTTATTGAATTTATTCTCCAATTTTATATGGGACAGTACTTTAACATAAATTAAATATTTAAAAAAAACCCCGAAACAAAAAGAGCTGGTGATCTTTAAACGGCTGAACAGATTTTCGTGAAACAGCTGAGAACACTCCCGATTAACACATCTTTCAAACGAAGGAAACAGACTCGATTCACCCATTCAGGAGCTACAGACACACAGATACACACTACAAACATATAACACCCCTCAGTTTTCGTCACGGGTTAAAAACAATCATCAAAGTCAGTACATTATTGACGAAGATATTATGTAACATATTATGTACACAAAAACATAGATGAATTAAGAACTTCCTCCTTTTTTAAAGTCAACTAAAAACAAGTGTACGACACATTTATCGTCCAAATCATTTAGCATGAATTATTATAAAGTGCTAGGGAAACACCCTACATTTTTTTTGGTCCTTCGAGCCTTTGAACTAGCATTGTAGCATTTTATTATTTTTCGTTGTTACTGGGTATTTAACGGATCAGTAAGCTAAAGTGGCAATGGATCATTCATATAACTCGAAAAACCGACAACCGATTGGGAAGAAACGTTCGCTAGTGGCAGCCTCGTCACATTAAGCAGAGTATACAAAGTAATATAGTAAAAGTTTTTTTTTAATAAAATATGGGTGTGGAGCGAGCCCACAGCCCACCTGGTGGAAAGTGGATGCTATGGTCCATAGACATCTACATCTATTCTCGATTAAGAATCAAAATGCAGATGCATTGTCACCCCTGAGGACTAAGATAAAATGTCTCGTATCCAGTAAAAAGGGTCTCCGGTTCTCTACACTCACTGGTATTCAGTACTACACTCACGGCATTATACTCCTTTTTCACGTTAGTATCGAGCGATATAGTTCCACTGGGGCGAGTATTGCCCTGCCCCAGTGGAATCGAGCCATTAGCACTGCATAATGATTAGTTATATTTAAACAAATACAATTTAATTGACATTAAATAAAACTAATTCTATACATTTGATTGCATTTAATTTAAGTTAATTTACTTATTTTTAATTTCCGACATTTTGGGGCCTTTACAGCATCCATGGTCACGGGGCATTTGATCACTTAGTTTGTCTTTATCTCAACATAATTAGTGTTTCCTTAACCTCTCAGATCACCTTGTTGAATCAAATATGATTTGCGTGCTGTGAAGTTTAAGAACATCTATTGCCTAAGCTACACATCCATCTATTACAACATATCAATAGTTCACTGCTGAACATAAGCCTCCTCGTCATCCGTGGACTGAGGAAAAAAAAATTAAGAATCAAAAGCTGAAGGTAGTCTGGGCTAACTAGGATATTGGCATGTCAAACATCTCAGTCCCCCATGACCATGGGAACTAAAAAATAAGTTAAATTAAATGCGATTAAATCCGTAATTTTTTTTTATTGAATTTGCACAAACAGGATGGCTCTGTGGCACATTGGCTTAGCAGAACGCACGGAACAAGTACGGAACAAGTGTTGGTATGGCCTACAAATAATTGATCTGGGTCTTGATTTTTGTCCTTATGAAATTTATGTATATAAACTGCCCCCACAATGCAGGAGAAAAACATAGTGGAAGTAAAGTTTAAAAAAAAGTATATGAAAAGCTGGGCACTGACTGGTTCTGCAGTTCGGGTGATTTCTGAGCGAGATCTGCAAAGGCATCGGCGAGAGCGCGCTGTGTGTGGGAGGCTGCAGTCATTTGTGCAGCCAAGGCTGTGGTCAATCGCAGCACCCCGTTGTACCTGCGCTGTGTCTCCCGCAGCGCTTCAATCTTCACCTCCAGCTCTACAGTAAAATGAATAGAATAATTATTTTTATTCAATATAGAATAAGGGTGACAAACGAGCACACAGTCCACCTGAAGGTAAGTGAATGCTGTGAACCATAAAAACCTGCATTTATCCTCAATCAAAAATCAAAAAGCAGATGCATTTACCACTGAGGATTAAGATGGAATACCTCGTTTCCAGTAAACAGTGTATCTGGATCTCAACACTCACCATACGAAACACAGCAGCATTAAACTGTTATTTTATGCTGGTATTATTTAAGTGTGGTCCTACCCCGGTTGAGCCGACCCATTTGTGCAACAATAATAATATAACTACAGCATGGCTCTTTCATAATGCATACAGTATCTTTCTGTCCGAATACGATTAAGATTTACCATGGAGGGCTTCATTACCACTTACCACCAGGTGGGATGTGGTCAAGTACTGGCTTATAATTAAAAAAAAGCAGTGTAGGGAGGTCCCCACTATAAGGAGTGACAACCTTTTAAAACATGTATGATATCAATGAATACTCAAACATCATGTTTTATGGAATTCTTGGGGGAGGCCTAGTCAGCAGTGGACTAGTGAAGATGAAGATGATGATGGTACATAACCATAATTTTTATTTGTAATTTATTGGGTAGTTTTACTATTCCTCTTCATTATGCTTTTTTATTATTTTAAAATACTCATACTCGTAGGTTTGAATTTGCAGCCATGTACTCCTGGCTTGCTGGATACAGTTCTAAGTCAGGAATGTTTCATATTAATGTGTTTAGTAACAAGTATATAAACAAAATATAATATTTATATTTTACTACTTTATTATTCATCAGTAGCAGTATTATTTAGAATATATTTTATAAATATATTTAGTAATACATAATAAATAGATTTTAGTAAAGCTAATGTAGGTTACCTGTATCAACTGTTCTAGAACTCTTGCCAAGTTTTTCATATAGTAGTTGTTTCGTACATTTATATGTTGAAACTCCCCAGTTCTTTAATGACTCTAGTTTAGTAGAGCCTGAACGTAAAAGTGTGCTTGTTCCTGCTGCACCATTCTGGGACACATCCGGAGGTGCTACACCATCAATATAGGTTTGTGTTAGTAATTTCAGACATTCTTACTATATTCATATAATGAAATTTCCAAAAATAAATGTCTTTTGTAATAACAATAATAACTTAGAAAACTGTATTCAAATTGTACTAGTAAAAAAGCAAGGTTGGGTTTAGTATCAAGTCCCCTGAATTTGAGTAGTCTGTCACTGTGGAAGGGGTGTGTCAAGGGAGTTTATCTCAAGCACCCCCATGCAATTTTAGCTGCCGGAGCTGCGTCGAAATATTTAAAATCATTTTCTAAAAATACTCAAAAATTATTAATTAATACCTGAAACGGAACTTAAATTACACTAAATTCTTACATTTTTTAAATTGCATCTGTCAAAATGCGTATAATGAAGTACTAGGCCGCCATTTTGTTGACACAATGACAGATTATACTTTGCGTCATTCCGTTGTTTCCGAGTTTAAGTGAATGTGCTCCTTATCATTATTATCTGCCTCCTATTTAGCGACAACTTTGCTACGCCTTTGTACACCTATTGGATTGCTTCTCTGGACGACCTTGGATTACTCACTGGACATTGATTATAATTATGGGCAAGCAATGGTGGCATCTGGCTGAGATTCAGAATCCAGGCCATCCATGAGCTTAAGGTTTGGTCGAGCTGCAACTGAATAGACGGTTCCTGGCCACGATTTCTTCGCAGATGATGGACCCTTTGTGGATAGTCAATTACATTTGGAAGAGATTATTAAAAATGTGGGTTAAATTCATAATGTTCCACCATCAATTATCACTTGCCTAACTGGCAAGTGATAATTGATGGTGGAACATTATGAAATATAATAAAGATCCATTTTTGGAAATGGTGGAAGTGATTACATATGTTTACATATTAAAGTAATTATAAAAGTTAACATTTTGGTGTTTTATTTGGTGCAAGAGTGAGCGAACAGACCCCTCCATCCCCTTCGTGGTTATTTTTTTATAAACCACCCAGAAATAGGAGTCCTGCAACGCGAAGTTCCACCGACTTCACTTTACTAATGCTTTGGTGGAGGGGTGACAAACCCCCCCCCCCCCCCTCCTATTAAGACAATTTTTCTCAGAAACCTTTCAATAAAAATTTGAATATTAAACATTTCATATAAAAAAATACGCATCTCCACTGGGAATAGAAGTTGGTGGGCGAATCTACCCCTCCCCCCAAACCCCACCCCTCTATTAAGGCGACTTGATTCTAAACCTTACCCAAAAAGCAAGAGATGTTAATTGTTACATATCAAATTAATGGTGGAAGATATAATATAATTGAAGATCATGAATAAAAGTTTTATTACCATAAGCTGGAGGGAATGGCATAGATCGTGAAGTGGGGAATTTAGCTTCCGTTCCAGACGTGATAGAATCACTAGATTCACGCAACGGCGGCGTATCTTTTAGCATTTCATGAATGCTTCGCTCAGATTGCCTGAAAAAGGTTTCAGGCACTTAATTTGTGATGGTTTCGTAAAGGGTTTATATAATTAATTTTGTGCTTAGAGTACTACAACTAGTACAATCTAAGTTCAGCAATGATTAAGATTCAATTCAGATTTAAATTATTACGAGACATAAGAAATATACATACCATTTGGACATTTTGCCAGTAGAATCTATGGTATATATAGGCACAAAATAGAGAATAAAGTTTAAGCTGATATATTTGTTTAATTATTAAAGGAGCATTAACATTTTATTTCTACCATTATAAAAAATTTCAGTTTATTTTCAGCAATAAACAAAAAATTATGAATCATCGACATGACAACTTGACATTTTTTTTCTTTGGTATTATATACATAGACGATTGTACTTCTGCCAAGTAATAAAAAAATTATCGGGTATTAAAAGTACTCTGTGGAAGTTATACTTCATATCACAACAAAGGGGTTTTGGCCAAAGAGAATATAACCACTACGTTTAGTTTTGGCGGGAACTTCACCGGCGGCGGTTTGCTGCTCCTGTATTATTGTTTAAATAATGGTTTAAAGTGGACTTTGATATGTAAAAGTGGTGCGATTTTGTGTATTAAGTGTCTGCGCATGTGAACTATTAGTGGAAACTGTGCTCTGATGGTGATGTGATTCTCAAGATAAGGTGTCTTAGTTCTTAAACGCCTTGAGATACCATTGCCAAATGTCAGCTGTCTGCTTGCTCAAAATGCCGTCAAAATCTCTCAAGGGCTGCGCAATGTGACGCATCAACATATTGTGAAGCAGTGTACTATGAAGGATAGTTATACATTGTAACTTCAGGCTCAGTAGAGCTAGAACCCAGAGCCGTAAAGCTAGTTATAAAAAAAATATCACAACAAAATAGGTAGTTCATATTAACCCTTAACTACCTACCCGTGGTCTCACGGAGACCAGTGATATTATTTTTGTGAATATCTAAGAAACAAATATTCGGAATTCGGTTTCAGTTTTCCGAATGCAGCATATCCATATAAAATCGAGGACCTAATCAGATACGTACAGTAGTTTTCCACTCGAAATTTTGCGGACAAAACTGGTTTCCGAATGTATGTGGCCGACCCGTTCGGAATTCCGAAACGGAATTCTGTGTGTATGTAGGCGGCCTAAGCTTTAAGTTTCGTGCTTTCATATAACTTCTCCCCACTATCCATAGTACCATGAATGCGTTTGCCAAGGCGAAACGTGTCCGCGCTTTCTTTTGATGAGTAACAACTTTTTTATTGACCCAGGGTAAGTAGTTACCTACCCTGGGTCTCTCAGACCAATTACGACAAAACCAGTTACGTTACTTTTTTATCTATTTATATTCTATTTAACAGTGGTAGAGCCACGCGACAGCTTTTGCTGTCGCACGGATGGGCCGGCTCGAACCGGGGTGGTATCACGACCTCACAGAATACCAGCGTGAAGTAGAGTTTTACCTCTGCGTTTCGCTTGGTGAGTGCAGGTGGCCGGAGGCCCTTTTTACCGGAAATGAGGCATTCCATCTTTGTCCTCACGGGTGACAACGCATCTGCATTTTGATTTGTAATAGAGGATAGATGTAGATGTCTATGGGCCGCAGTAACCACTTACCATCAGGTGGACTGTGTGCTCGTTTGTCACCCTTATCCTATAAAAAAATTTTTTTTTCACGTTTAGAGAAAAATGCCGGTTGATGATCAAATTATTAAGTGCTGGTTAGAGGAAGAACCATCGGATGAAGAAGACTTCCAAGATAAGATAAGATAAGATCAGATTATGTTACAAAGTAATTCGGATCCTAAATATTCTCCCTTTTCCAGCGTACAAATATTTTCTGACAGATTATGTTAGAATATAATACAAAATCAGGAAATTTATTATTATAGAATATAAATACACTTGCAGCTATACTTAAGGAAACCAGTAAGCATCTATATAGATGCTTACTAGTTTGTTTATATAAAAACAAAAATGTCAATTAATTAATTCATAATATTTTTTAATTAAAACATGTCAATAAATTAAGTCGAGATTAATTTCAACAATTACAACTGTCATGGCTGCCCTTAAAATAGGGTTATCAGAACAAAAAACTTTTGAAATGCTCATTTTTGTACGCCTATACCCTTTTTCAAATTAATTTGTTAGTATTTTTATGAAATTCCTCAATTTTTTTTTCCTATTTATCTATGTAGTGTACATAGTAGTGGTCCAAAATTGAACATCTCCTTTATCATTTAAGAAGTCATTTCTAGAGTAATAACATTTATTGAAAAAAAAAATTGAAATTATTTACTTTTAAAGATTCCTATATTAATTTTTTTGAAACAAACAGGCAATTTGTTGTAAACATGTATTGCCATACAATATACATTTTATGAGTATAGTTGTATTCTTTGCTTTGGTACACACAATTTATGTGTGTTTCTACTAGTCCTAATTATAAGGTCGTTCTGTTTTTCAAATAAATTACTATTTTTGTGAAAAAAAGACACAGATTTCATAAATGTATAATGCTGGAAACGCAATATTTTGTGTGTGCGAAAAAGGGGAATACAACTATCTAATTGGTGTGCTCCGCATAAAGACCTTCCACATTTTTCTGCCCGTGAAAAGCTCTAATGAAATCGACAGAATTATCACAAATTATTAAGCCGTAACGTAGGATTGAAAAAACATAACCATGATAGGCAGAAAGTGCGGCCTCTATGTTAGCCACTCGTCTTAAACGATATAGAACAAAGACAAATTTATCTAACTTTCTACATAGGTTATCAATATGTGTCTTCCAATTACAGAACTTGTCTATTGTTACACCTAAAAAGTTCGTACTGGTCAACGCCTTCGATGACATTTTTCCCATATTCGATTTTAAGTGGTGATTGTTTACTATTCTATGTCTGAAATCTTATCATTTTAGTTTTTACGATGTTAATTATTATGCCTTAACCAATCTATTATTTTTTCTAGAGTCCTATTTATTTCGTGTTCGTAGTCAATAGTTTTATTATTATTTTCTATAATAATGGTAATGTCATCAGCTTAGAGCACACATTTATGTTTTGTTTGTATTTGCATGTTGGAAAGATCTTTTATGTAGATTATGAATAATAGAGGTCCTTGTATACTTCCTTGTGGCACTCCGCATTTATTTTCGCAATATCGTGATCTATAATTTTTTTACGATGTCCAGAGTAGTTTGATACATCAACGCACTATTTTCTTTGACTTAAATAATCCTCTATTTTTTTTAGTGCATTACCTCTTATACCATATCTGTTGAGTTTGTGTAACAATAAGTCGTGGTTAAAAAAGTCATATGCCTTTAACATTTCAATGAAAATGGATGTTATAGGTGTTTTGTTGTTTAGGCTGTTCAGTTAAAACATGCTAAAGATGTTGACTTATTTTCTGTAAACCCATATTACTCTGGTTTTAATATTTCATGTTTGGTAAAGAAATTATAGATTCTGGTAATTATGGCCTTTTCAAACACTTTACATAAAACACCTATAAGAGATATGGGCCGATAATTGTTAATATCACTTTTATCGCCTTCTTGTATAGTGGTTTAACAATAGAAAATTTTAGTCTAGTTGGGAAAATGCCTTGAACAAAATATAAATTGATAATGTTACTACTAATAGCGTCATAACCTGTAGAATTTGTATTATATAAGGAATTAATTATTTTTATAATGTCAGTGTTATGTATTGGAACTAGATAAATAGAATTGGGATAAAATGTTAATTTAGGTGCATAGTCATTATTGGTTGTTATTTTATTTGATGTTTTAATATTAGTAGTTAAATTTATAAAGTAATTGTTTCAATTTGCATGAGAACTAGGAAACAGGGTTATTATATCTAAGATAGACTCTTTTCATAAACAATCTGTAATTGTTTTATGTATTTGTTTTGTGGTATTAAGAGTTGTACTCCTAAGTATTTTTCTATCATTAATGACAGCTATTTAATATTGTTTTATTACTATAGGTATCACAATCAATTATTCTTAACAATAAAATAAATCAGAAACAAATTTCAAAAATCTTAAATTAACAATATTTAGAGATCAATCTGAAACTTTGGTGAAATGTAAAGTTGTAATTAAATTTAAATTCTACTTATTGGTACTTCTTATTCTACTCATGAGGCAAGTCATCATAATATTTATGATAGTCAGAAGGAAGGATCTTTTTTATTTGTTGCAAGTCTTTTAAATTTTTGTGCAATAATTTTACGTCGGTTCTGGTGCAATTGAGATAGTTGAGTAATCTCGCAAAGATCGCCTTTGGGGTAAACTTTGCCATTCATCCTTATAGCAAGTTTTATAAAGAATTGATTTATTGCTTTCGTAAAGTACACGAATGTCAGTCACCTTAGGATCCCCTTCGGATCTTCCTGGACGAATACTTTTATAAAAGTGAATTTTGTCGAATTTTTTGAAGTAAGTGTGGTGTAAATATGTTACAGAAAAAGGTACTGGGCATTTACAACCATGCTTAGCAATATATACGTGTTCAGCTGGCACATGTATAACTGTTCTTTAGGTGACGTTCTCTAATGGAATGCATTGAATCGGCCTCCATTTGGGTGTGACCCACTTCTAAAAATTTTTGTTCGATAGCTATATTCTTGTGCCCCATGACAATGTTCAAAAGAGCGTTAGATAAAATAATATTTCTATTTTGGTAAGTGCAACCGTCGCTGTAAATTACAATTGCTTTTTCCCATCTTCAACATTAACTTCAGGACGTATTATTTTGTTTTCCTTTACTTCATTCCACATGAAACAGAAACCATATTTTATATTAAAAAAGCAAAGCTATGTAATCAAATCTCAGTAAGCAATAACTTACTGACATTTGATTTTGGTGGCATTAGGACAGCCTGTAAGTCCACTGTGAAACTGTAATTTCCTCCCTTGTTATCCGCATCCTTTTCTTCTCTTGCTTGTTTATTTCTCCCAATATGTTCTTTGTATTTTTCTTCTGTAACTGTTCCTACTTTATAACAGGCGCATTTTTCGCATTGATTTTTTTCCAATCAAATAGGGCCAAAGATTTGTCTTCAAATAAATTCGAAAACAAACTTATGGAGAGAGCTTTTATATTTCTCTCTTGGCACCAATCGTTAACGTAGGATTGGTAGAGGCTTT